TGCAGTGTATTGGACAGTGATGATGAGAAGGTATCCCTTCGGCTCACCCTTTATCGACAGCGGCACTACGGGGGCAGTGTGAGTGCCATCGTTAGTGGTGGGACCGTCAGTCGTCTACAGTTAGTATAAGAATAGTTAGTTTTAGTTATCGAGATTCTTTTTCTTAGTTCCAGGCCGTTGATCTTTGCTATCTACGGTCAGTATCTCTTAATTCGTGCAAGTGGGACCTACCGTCGTCAAGCGAACACAACGCACCCTTATTTTGGCTATATCTGGCCGGAAATATAACTTCTATACATTCATTTTTAGGGTGCGTTACGTTTGGGGGAAGACGGTAGCCCTCACGCGAATATAACGCCCGGTCATTCTTTCAGTTCAGATGTGCAGCCAGCGATAAGGACTGGGCAAAGGCCTGAAAGGCCGTCCTGCTGGGGTGAAGTCCCACGGCCGAAGTTGAGTTTTTTTTTCAACGCTGAGCTTTTTTTTTTTTTTTTTTTTAAGGAGGTGTCAAAATGGTGTCACACGTTTGTGTTTTCTACACTTAAACTTGGGCGGTGGGACTTCACCCCTGATTCGATAGGTAATTGAATTTATTTATTTAATTAATTTTCGCCCTTCGAATCGTTGTTAAAAAAAGAAAAAAAAACAAACAAACATTTATTCAAATCCAAATCGAGGCCGGGACCTCACAAAAACGATTCTGCCTTGAACCACTTGACATTTCCCCTTGGGCGGGGTTTGTTTTTCGAACGCTACCCCACCCAAAACAGTCGGGTTATCCTGGGAGCAGTACCCAGTTTCGCTTCGAGTCAGCAGGACTGTTCACAGTCACTCCAGTAGAGCATCCTCCTCAGAACTTTCATATTTGATCTGGCTGAACTTCTCTATGGTGTGGTGGGTATGCCAGCAAAAGAGAGCTCTGTCCATAGATCTTTGTTCTTCTTGCCTAAGTTCTACCCTATATTACCCAGATCACCAAGCTACCGCCGTCTCGGGGTCAAGCTACCACCGTTTCGGGGTCAAGCTACCACCGTTTCGGGGTCAAGCTACCACCGTTTCTGACCCCAAAACTAGACGGCTGGCTCCTATTGGTACGGTCTCTGAGCTTACTAGATAGGCGCCTGCACTGGGGGGCAAAAAAGACTAAACGTCCTTGAGGAGCAAGGGTCACAGATCCCACTACTACCCTACCCTGGATTAGGCATTTTTGACCCTCGATTACGAAGATCAACGGTCAGAAATGAACAATAGGGGCTTAGCCTAGATCTGGCCCCAACTCCCTTTGTGAGGTGACACTCTACTACCGTCTTCACCCGAGTAGAACCTCCGGTCATTATCGCTGCATCTGGACTGAAAAATGGCCCAAATACAGCTATAATGACCGGGCGTTATATTGGGGGGAAGAAGGTAGTCAGGCTACAGGGCCCCTCCTAAGTAACCGAGTGCCCTGGTATGCCAAAGCAGCCCCCAACTCCCAGCCTCATACATGGGAGCACAGGGAGACTGCAGCCAATCTACTACTACAAAGTAACCTAAACAGGTAAGTTATTTTTTTTTTTTTTTAATTGGTTGGGCTGAAGTAATTAGCCTTTTCTAAAAAAAAAAAAAAAAAAGACTGGGCGTTCTATTCGTGTGACGACGGTACTGTGGGAAGCGGTAAACGTCCCGCGAACGGGTGCGCTTAGTGCGAGCAGTGGTAGGAGAGAGGCTTCTCTCTCTCTCTCTCTCTCTCTCTCTCTCTCTCTCTCTCTCTCTCTGTGTGTGTGTGTGTGTGTGTGTGTGTGCGCGCGCCCAAATAGAATCCGCTTCAAGGATGACACCACAGCCGTTAGAATGTTGGAAAGATACACGTACACATGGTAGAAATGCACACAAATAGAGAAAATGTTGAATATCCCTTTATACATAAATATCGTCACAAATAGATATATATATATATATATCGTCACAAATAGATATATATATATACCGGGCAGTTCTATTTGACGATATATATCGTCACAAATAGATATATATATATATATATATATATTCTTCGCTCATCAGCAGAGGTCCCCATTAGCAAAGACGATTGGAGTCAGCGTCTGAATCTGGATGTGGTACATGCAGAGATGCCGAAAAGCAGACCGAACCTGATTTTCTGCACCTCTCTGCAAACACGTCCAGATGCAGGCGTTGAAGCCCATCTTCCTTGCTAGCGGGACCTCCCCCACAATGGGACTTGGGCCCAGATCGAGATGTGATAAGATGGGCCGTTGTGTTCGGGGGCAAGAAGGTAACAGTCAGGCAACGTAGCAGTCCGATTCGAGCCATTATGATTTTTTTTTTATTTTATTTATTTTTTTCTAATGTGGCCCGACGAGTTTAATATCTGATTACGCTGTTGATCGTCAACTGTCATCGTAACCCAAAAAAGAGAGGAAAAAAAAGGAAAAGACAAAAGAAAAAAAAGTAAAAAAAAAGTGATGAAGAATCTGCACGCCGTGTGGGGCTGTGTTAAAAGACAAAACAGGAAAAAAGACATGCTCGGCTGGTCTCATCCGCCCCTACCCCCCCTGGCCAGGCCACACCCAGGCCCAAAACGGGGGAAAAAAACCCAGCAAAGATTCACGGCCTGGACGAGGAACAATTGACAAAACTGGACTACCGGAAACCCCAACAGTCAAAATCCAAATGTATCTAGCCCAGGCCACTGGTCAAGCACACACACTTGTTTTGTATGCAGGTACCCAGACACTACGTGACCCCCAAGGCCGCGGATCCTGCGGCCTAGGCCGCGTGGCCGAGTTTCTTTGCGGCCGCGCCACGCTCAGGCGAGCGCGCGCACGGGAAATCGGCGCGCGTCCTCGGCCTGCGCACGTCCTCCTCTGTAGCGGAAAATAATAATAAAATATTTTTTGGGGGGTGTTTTTTGCTGAGTACCGAAATTAATTAAAAAATTAGAAAAAAAAAATTGTTGATTCATTGATTGATTGATTGATTGATTGATTGATTGATTGATTGATTTTGATTGATTGATTGATTAATTGATTGATTGATTGATTGGTTGATTGATTGATTGATTGATTGATTGATTGATTGGTTGATTGATTGATTGATTGAT